ATCAAGCTACCGATTTTCACATACCGACTCACCTGTCCAATTACCCAAATCTCAAAATTTAACTCAATTCACATGAGTCAGTATGTCAAATCGGTAGTTTAATCGGTAACTCAAGCATTATTGTTTAAACTTATTCCTTTCTCGATGACCATCTTTTCTTGGTAATATTTTACGGCTTGACAGTTATCAGAAAGTTAATACAGAGGCAGCTTATAATTATTAATTGTAATCAATTCTTTTTCAGGATTGCAAACCTAACATTAATGTTTTATTTTACAAATTGCATATATTTTGTTAAATATTTATGATCAATATTTTGTTGCAGCAGAAAATAACTCCTGAAATTTCTAATTCAAGCATAGTACGTGTTGCATTTACCTGTATATAAACACTTGCAAAATATCATGATTTGCAGTTAAACCAAATGGAATTTTTATAAAACGTAGATGTCTTCTCAGTGTCCAAAAAGAGTTTCAGCTATGATTTTCAAATATCGAAAAGAGAAATATGTGAGAATTACCTGTGTGGGCTGCGGTGGAGATGATTTACTATAGCAGATACCTTTTGGGAAAGTGGGTGGCTTTGGTTTGGTTTGGTTTGTCAACCTAGGTTTTTCATGGCCAAATTGACCTATCCATGGCTACTCTCACTTTCTTGCCTAAGCCTTACAATGCATCCACGTTTCATCACATCAGTTTCTGGATATCTTTCAATATCCAAATCATTTTAATCCATGGAATTTGCAATTGCTTGCTGTATCACAGTTTCTGGATATCTTCTGTTAGAAGCTTCAACATGTAATATTCATTCTATCCGTGGTTAATGCTGCATCTACAATGTGCGTGGTAGCAATTATTTTACTCCCGGCTGCTCCAGCCATAAATGGAGACTTCAAGGATTGCCACAAGCTATAATCTTTACTCCACACATCATCTAAAACAATTAAGAATTTTTTTTCCAGCTACTGCATTTTTGGGTTGAACTTGCACTTCATTTAAGTTTGTTAGATTGCAGGAGGATGAAGTGATGGACTCAAGAATTGCCTTAGAGATGTGCAGGACATCAAAATCCTCAGAGACACAAGTCCATGCTCTTGGACTTTAGACCTTCTACAGCTTTGTCATTGTAGACCTCTTGAGCCAGCGTTGTTTTGCCAACTCCTCCAAGGCCAACAATGGGTATAACAGAAAAGTTGTCATCACTTGGTTCATCCCTTGACACCATATCAAGTATCTTGGCTTTATCTTCATTTCTCCCGTAAACAGCAGGTTCTGTTGGCACACGTACTGTCTGGTCCTCTCCATGTAGCATTTGATGCTCCTCCTCTGGCAATCTTCTCCAGCCCAAACTCAGTTCTTCGTTTGCACAGTTCTTCCATTCGGCTAGTGATACTACTAATCTTGGACCCCATGCTGATATTGAACTTCACAACACTAGGAGACAACCCAGAGAAACAAGCAGGGATAAAGCTATGTACCTTGCTGCTGCTAGCACGACTCCAGAAGGTCCTCCAAGTCCTGGAGATCATCCATCACATCTTCAGAGCCTGGTCGATAAGTTGCTTCCCTTCAGCATCAATGAGCCGAGCATCAATAAAGTTAAACTTCTTCTACCACTTCTTCAGCTTCGAACGTATCCCGTCTCGGCTTGCAAACTGCAGCAACTCAGGGAAGTCAATCTGTCAAACAACACTTAAAGGAACGCAGAGAGAAAGAGCCGCCTCACAGCCATTCTATTGTTTTGTCTGTCAAAAGAAAGGTTTCACGAATCAGGATAGACACAGAAAAGAACAATGAAATCAAGAAAATAGACTTCCGAGTTCTTTTTATGGAAGCTCAACCAGTTTCTTAAGTCAAAAGCCAATAGTGTGTTGTTAGGGCCAAAAAATGTCTTCGGCCCAAATAGTATAATGCGTCCGACAATGAGGAAAAGCCCAGGCCCAATCCCGATGTAGCCCAAGCCATAACTCCCAGGATAAGGCCTATTCGGTATGAAGTACAATCAGTCCAAATCATCTGGACCCAGGCCTCCTAATCCCAGTACACTTCCTGGGCCTATAGTCGAATTCAAAGCCCACGGTCACCTACAGATCACATTCCTACTCGAACACTGATAAAGTAGTCAACTACCATCCCAATTCCTCCAAGGTCCGTGTCAGAGTCATGCTTGGACTCCTCTTCACGCCAGGGTAATGGGGCCAAAGGATATATCCCTGGAGGAAACAAATTACTATGAGAAGTCCCAATCCCACCAGGATTGGGAGACCAGACAGTCACTATTTAAACAGAGGCTAGCCCTCTCACAAAGAGATTACATTACACATTCAGACCTCGGAGTTCCCGCTTGAGAACTTCATATTACAGCCGTAGTCACAGTCCCCAACTAGACTTTTGGTAACCTCTCTACTCCCTAGCCCTCACTAAATCACCATCTTTCAGCCTTGCTGACTTGAGCGTCGGAGTGCTTACGACAAACACCACCCTGGTGTTTTCCGTCGCTTTATGTTTGTTTCTCTATGTGTGCAGGTATATTAGATCGTTAGTGACCTCAACCTCACAGGATCAGTCTCTCCTTCCGTACAAGTAGATTTTTACGTCTACATGTGTTTTGAATAAAATAATTAGTGCTCACAAAAATCACAAAAATATAACTAGCACTTAGCCCTCTTTCCATAAACAAACACAAAAAGAGGACTATTACAAAGAAAACAAAACCATCTTTGACGTTTTGTTTCTTGGAAAAACCGTGTGGACTCCACCATTTGCAATAACAAATTATAAACTATAATTGTTCATTTGAGAGTTTCAGTAAAGCTTAACAATGTCGATGTTTTGGTTTCTTGGAATCAATAATGTTACGGACACCGGACTGTACACCAAATTCTTACATCAAACTACGTGTCACGTGCCTTAGACCAGCTATGTATCCGTTAACAAATATTTTACGAGTGAATAACTATTCATCAACTATGGACGATCATTTACTGTTATTGGATGAGAGTTTTATTATAAGTAGCGCCCGTCCGTACAAAATGAATGATAGACTCCATTTATTATGGATGAGGGTCCACATATAATGGATGCCCATCCATACTTAAAAAAAAAAAATTGTATATAAAATACAGGGACGCCCGTTCATCAGTTATGGACGGTCGTCCCTAACTTTTGGACCCCTATCCACATATAATGGACACTCGTCCATACTTAAAAAAAATAATGGATGGGGGTCCATATATAATGGATGCTCATCCATACTTAAAAAAAAATTATATATAAAATACAGGGACGCCCGTTCATCAGTTATGGACTATTGTCCCTAACTTTTGGACCCCTGTCCACATATAATGGACACTTGTCCATACTTAAAAAAAATAAAATTTTATATAAAATGAATAGATGTCCGTTCATCAGTTATAAATGGTCGTTCTTGAATTTTGGACGAATGTCTACATGTAATGGACACCCGCCCATAGTGTAGAGTTTAAAAAAAAATAAAAAATAAAATTATGGACGCGCATCCATTATTCAGTGAACGGCCGTCCCTCACTGCTTAAACTGAACAAACGGGCTCTTGAGGTACTGTGTTTTAATTAGTTTTGCTTGGTTTTGAATATATTTGTGCGTTATAAAGCAATGAACATTTTTGAGGTGTTCAAGTGATCCATCAGATAAGCGAGACGCAACTCTTTTATTTCTCTTGCGGTTCTTCTTCTTGGAGGACCTCGATCTTCCACCAACACACCCCTCAGGCTTCGAAACACAACTTCCCATGTCTATCTCACGCACACGCACAAAGATCAATCAGCAAATCAGCATCAGAAATGATATGGGATTTCTCAACGCAGAAAGCGAATAAACAGAGTCTGTAGAAACAGAAGAAACAAGCATAAGTTGAAGAGGTGGTTTTAGAGAGTCCATAATTCTTTTTTAATTTACAGTATGGATGGACGCCTGCTCAAAATGCAGGACGACCTTCCATAATGATGAACGGACGTCTCTTAATTTTGTATATGATTTTATTTTATTTAAAATATAGACGGACGTTTACAGGAATGGTCGTCCATAACCTATAAATGTCCGTCCATTATTTTTGTTTAAAAACCTTCTTTAATTTAAAGTTTGAACGAACGTCCATTAAATATAGACCCTTGTCCATAATAAATGGACTCATGTCCATGTAATATGGACAAGAGTCTATCATTTATTTTGCATGGATAGATATCTATATATAATGGACTCTCATCCAATAACAAAGAACGATCGTCCATAGTTGATGAACGGCTGTTCATTCGTAAAATATTTGTTAATGGGATATGTGGCTGGCCTGAGTCACGTGACATATAATTCAGTGTAAGAATTCGGTGCACAATCCCTGTGTCTGCAGCATTATTGTACAAACCGTGGCTTACCAGGTTCAATTTTTTTTTTTTTTTTTTTTTTAATAAGAAAGCTTGGCTTCACTACTTCTACCTACAATGTATTTCTCAAAAAGTACCCAATTTTCTGTCATGATTTTAATCAGCAGTAAACTCTGCAAACAAAACTAATAAACAGTGCCGCTGGATGCAATTAGTTTGTGGTAGTGTGCCGCCGCACACTTGGTTGGCCATCGCAACCGATTCAATGGTTTTTAAATTTAGAATTCAGAAACTAAATTTACACGAAATAGTAAAAAGCACTCTTCTGCTGTTTAANAGCAATTTTAAATAGTTTTATCGATTGTGTATGTTATAAATTTTGATTTTTTTCATTCTTTCCTTTGTGCTTTCAAACAATCATATCAAACGTGTTTTCATTTTCATATTATAAAATATTATTTCCTAAAAGAAATGATGAAAGCGTTTTTTTTTTTTTTTTTTTTCACCTTTTCCAATCATTTTCAATTGAAAACAAAAAACGGATTCACATTCTTCATAAAAGATTACACCTTTTGTTTCTTATGAAATTCCAACAAGAACATGGGCATAACAAAACTAGCCAAAAAAAGGAAAAAAAGAAGTTTATCTTATTCATTATCGATGCATCAAGTAGTTTGGCGGTCGATGCTTATTAATCTAAAGTAATCGAGGAAGCATTCATGATCAGCGCAGTTGATTCATTAGCAGGGTGAGCCGGCAACACAGAGCCACTGGCCAACGAAGAGAGCCTCGCAGTTAAGATTAGGGTTGATCGAATCGAAAACCTCGGTGGTCAGGTTGAATAGCTGTGCAATCCCAAAGCAAGTGTCTCCGCTTTCAACACCGAACACTGATTCGCATTCTAGGCTGCATCTAGGCTTCCTTGCTTTCAAGACGCGAGCCCCTGCTCATCATTTCAATTCAAAAATCATGTTAAAAGAATGATATGATCATTTCAAAATTGTAATTCATTATTGTTTTGAGTGTTTCTGTTTTCAAAATATAAAAAAAATAAGAAATTTGATTTTGTATTTTCGAAATTTGAAAATGAAAACATGTTTATTATTGTGTTTTTAGGATAAATATTAAATGTTAGGATAAGTAGAGAATTGAAATATACAATTCTCTCATGCATATATGTCTACATTTTATAATTTATTTACATACAAACTATATAAATTTAGACTATATATCAATGTAAAGATGAATAATTATAAGTAACAGATTATTTTAATTTAGGTAATTCCTTACATATATATAGTTTCAAGTCATAATAATTAATTTTATAAATACACTAGCTAGTATCCATACGAAATAAGAATCATATGCAATATATATGTATGTATACGAAAATTCACAGGTGCAAACATTTTAATTTTTAACGTAACCATGTAATCAGGAATGGACACCCAGAAATAAAAAATAAAACTAGAAAAGAATTAATAAATAACTCATTATGTGTATATACAAAACACTTATGTATACAATAGTGATTAAAACTAGAATCATGAAATTCAATTATAGGAGCATCTTAATTATATTTAATTAATAAAATAAAAAACTTACCATTAGCTTTTCTGCTCTCAGCCATGGAGATGACAAGAAAAAGAGAGAGCATTAAAACCAAGTTGAGAATCATAGCTCTTTTGTTGTAATTTGCCTTAGCCATCTCTCTAAGAACTACTTAATTAATTGAATTCTCTTTTAATTTGTGGGATATGATATGGAATCCCATGCATAATCCCCTCCTATTTATAGTAATTAGAGAAAGAATTAAGACAAAAAACATTGTTACTAACTTGATTTTTCATATCAGTTTGCCGACTCATGAAGGAAAGTGATTTGTGTTGTGATTCACACCATTCAATTTAATTTAATTTTTTGTGTAGTTGCATATGCAACATCGAAATTAAAGGAAACCTGATCAATACTATATTTATATATGAGTTTTGATATAACAACCATTGGGTGCTCTGATGGTAAAAGAGTAGAATGAGATTTCATTAACTCCTAAGTTCAGGTTCCCCTAAACACTAATAAGAGTGGCCATTGGGATAGATAGTTCCAGGACTCTAAGGGTATGCACAAGCTGACTCGGATACCTCGGTGATAAAAAAAAAAAAAAAAAAAAAAAAAAAAGAATGTCGTTCATACTACAAGCCAATGCATATGTATGTCACACAACTAAGATATTATTGGGTGTGTTTGTTTTGTTATTTTGGATATGATTTTGGAAATAATATTGGGTAGTTAAGTAGGGTTATTATTACAAGAATATGATTTGAAGAATATGTGTTTGGTAGAGTATTTTGACCTTATTATTTGTGTTGAATATTTGATTAATATATATTTTTTTAAATGATTTATTAATATAATATTTTGGTGAATTTATTAAAATAATGTATTATTATAATCTTAAAACTTATCAATTTATATTTTAATAATATTAAACATTTTATTGGTAATTTCGTAACCAATAAATATTAAAAAACAAAAACTCATATTAATTTCAAGTACTAATCCAACTATTTAAAAACACCACATTAATACATATATGACAAAAGTACTAATTATCAACTCTTATAATCGTTTTTACACGTATACTCTATTAAAAACTACGACATGGTCATATGTGCTGCCCACAGTGCAGTTGTTATATTATCCCGTATAGTCATCATGTTGTCTATAATACCTTGCTGCGGTTGACTCGGTCCTTCTTCAGTATACCGTTCGAAGATAAGGTCATCCATATTGTACATTCTGATAAAATTATGAAGTACACAACATGCCATAACAATCTTCCCTTGTTTGTCCAATGGGTAATTGTTCATCTTATTCAGAATATGGAACCGTCTTTTCAAAACACCAAAGGTTCTCTCGATAACATTGCGGAGTGAAGGATGTCTGTGGTTAAACAACTCTTATGGCCCCCTTTGGTTACGAGAGTGATTAGAAATATGGTAAGCCACTTGCCTATGAGGGGCGAGGAACCCCTCTCTATTTGGATAACCCGCATCAACCAAATAGTATTTCCCTGTAATAAAATCATATATGTTATTTGAATTCCAGGGCCTCAACAGTGGAGCAAATACGCTATAATACGTCAAGAAAATACTTATACCTAGTGGAGGATGTGGGAATCCAGAATTAGGATCATCAAGAATTGAATTTAAAACTCTTGAATCATGCGCAGATCCTTCCCATCCAGTAACAACATAAGTGAACATCATCCTAAAGTCGCATACAACCATTGCATTCTGTGACAACATTCCTTTGCGATTCCGGTACCTATCGCCAAATTCATGTGGAACCGAAGCGTATACATGTATGCCATCAATGGCTCCAATACAATCCTATCATCAAAATTGAATTTTACCCATATTAACCAATTATCAACATTAATAACACAATGAACTTAACTGTCCACTAATAGAAAACATAATGAACCAATACCTTAAAGAAAGGGTAATATTTTTCGGTTGGCTGATATTTCCCATGGAACATCACTGAAGTCAGGTGGTCTGATAAACTCTGTCTTCAACTCACATATCGCCTTGCAAATTGCGCCAGCATATTTAGAGATCGCCTCACCCGAATGTTGAAAATCCTCTATCATCGTTCTGATTGTCTCATTTTTACCAACGATTGTTAGAAATACCATAACTTGTTCTTCCAAACTCATCCTCCTGGTTGGTCGCAATTTGCCTTGCTGTGCCAAAATGTAATATAAATATGTAAAAAAGTATTTGTCCATGTAGCACTTGTCAAAGATCATGTCAGCATGACCATTGAGTACTTCCAACATGTACTTAAGACCAGTTAATATGGATGTATGTCGTAGTTGACACCCAGTTGTTTTTAACATGGCAACACCGCAGAGTGCAATGGCTATATCTATCAGTATTTCTTCTTCGTCATCTTTAGAACGTCGTCTTCTTCCTGTTCGGCTAGACGACGCCATTTTAACATGCACAATTGCAAAACATTGATCAACAATTAAAGTTGTTGTACAACTTAGCAAATTATAACAGTCAATGTTTAATTCTAATGACAATCCAAAACTCATATGAACCATGTAATCTCACATAAAACAGTAACACAATTAATAAGTTCATATAGTAGCACACATTTGGGGACATTTTCAAATCAAGGTGCTGAACAGAAGTTTGGTTTAGCCATAAAAGGACAAATGCCCACTAACGCATACAAAAGTGTTGGCAAATTGCGAAAGTCGTTATAAATCCAATTAGCCTTTTCCTCAGGCAAGAGTTTCACGAATATCTCCCACCACCCTAGATTTTGATATAAGTACTTGACAACTGGCATGTAAAACTCTGTGGGTACTTGCATGGCTATCATGATTAGAGGTGGAAAAGTAACTCGCCCGGCCCAGTCCAACCCCACCCGGCCCGCAGTGGGTTTCTTCTTTTGACGAGTTGGTCCTAACCCGCCCACCAACAAAGGCAGGCCATGTTAGGCCCGCCATTTTTGGGGTAATGGCTGGCCCAACCCGACCCGCTAACCCTAACCCGCCGGGTTAGGCTGCGGGTCGGGCCGGTTTAACCCTATTTTTTGATTTTTTGTTTTGTTTTGTTTTATTTAATTAACTTTTCAAATAAATAAGTAATCATTTATAAATGAATAAATGTAATTTTTTTTTTAGTTAACTTTTCAAATATCAATAATTCAATTAAATTAATTTTTTTTATTAACATTTCAAATATTAATTCAATTTTAATACAATAAAATTNAAACATTGATCAACAATTAAAGTTGTTGTACAACTTAGCAAATTATAACAGTCAATGTTTAATTCTAATGACAATCCAAAACTCATATGAACCATGTAATCTCACATAAAACAGTAACACAATTAATAAGTTCATATAGTAGCACACATTTGGGGACATTTTCAAATCAAGGTGCTGAACAGAAGTTTGGTTTAGCCATAAAAGGACAAATGCCCACTAACGCATACAAAAGTGTTGGCAAATTGCGAAAGTCGTTATAAATCCAATTAGCCTTTTCCTCAGGCAAGAGTTTCACGAATATCTCCCACCACCCTAGATTTTGATATAAGTACTTGACAACTGGCATGTAAAACTCTGTGGGTACTTGCATGGCTATCATGATTAGAGGTGGAAAAGTAACTCGCCCGGCCCAGTCCAACCCCACCCGGCCCGCAGTGGGTTTCTTCTTTTGACGAGTTGGTCCTAACCCGCCCACCAACAAAGGCAGGCCATGTTAGGCCCGCCATTTTTGGGGTAATGGCTGGCCCAACCCGACCCGCTAACCCTAACCCGCCGGGTTAGGCTGCGGGTCGGGCCGGTTTAACCCTATTTTTTGATTTTTTGTTTTGTTTTGTTTTATTTAATTAACTTTTCAAATAAATAAGTAATCATTTATAAATGAATAAATGTAATTTTTTTTTTAGTTAACTTTTCAAATATCAATAATTCAATTAAATTAATTTTTTTTATTAACATTTCAAATATTAATTCAATTTTAATACAATAAAATTGTAATATAAGAAAAATTAGATTTATTCATTCAATTGATGAAACTTTAGGATAAGAATGAATTATATTTTATACAAGACATGGAAATTTAAGAATAAGACTTCAGTATTAAATTTTTTTATATTTTACGTACCATAAAAAATAATAATAACAATGTGTCAAATATTTTGAAGTTTTATACATTTTAATATTTATGATTTAGAAGTATAGTTTAATATTATTCTGTAAAATTATTTGTAAGAGTTCAATCATAATAGTTTAATTAAAAGAATTAAAAAAATGGGGGAAACTTGAAAAAAATAATTAATTTTTTAATTTTTTTTAGGCAAGCCAACCCGCCGGGTTAGCGGGTTGCCATATAGGAACCCTCCTAACCCGCCGGGTATAGCAACCCGTCGGGTTAGCGGGTTGCCATATAGCAACCCGGCTCGCCCAGGGGTTGTATACGGGTTGAACCCTCTCTAATGCGGGCCGGGTTAGGGTCATTTGTTCCACCTCTAGTCATGATGTCAATACAATTGCTTATGAAAAATGGATTAGATGGACCACTGGTGTTCTCTTCGTCCCTCTCATCTCCACTGCGATTACTAGCCCTCGATCCCATACTCCGCCTCTCCACAAGCTTGTCCGTCAATCTACCAATGACATCCGCAAGTGATTGTCCCAGGCCGCTTCTGTTCCTCCTATTTCTCGATCTTCCATGACTAGATGTGTTTGCCCCTTTTCCCCCTGTTGTCCGATTTGGATCAGGTTCAAAGTCGCTATCATTAATGTCAACCACACCCCGATTGGAATAAGTGAAGGTCTCCACCGGTTGAGATGTAGATATGTACGCATATCTCCTAGTGGCGGTTTGCTTCTCAAATATAATTTCATAAAGCTCCTTGTGAGGAAGTCCCTTGTGGTAGAATTGTTGTGCCTACGGGTTTTGCTAGTAATGCAAATAATATATTAATATTTGGCAGTCCCAAAAAAAAAATTGCGTACAAATACGGTGTTGTTGATTAATATTAGTTAAAAAAGTTGAAAATTTACCTTGACATATTCTTGCCAAACCTTTATGGGACACGTTGGACTTTGCGACTCATGATCCCACCCGAAGCCTGTATGTTGCAGCAATTTCCGCCAAGCTTGATATACTCTTCGCAAGCGAAAGTACTTAGAGGTTAGTTGTGTGACGTTGAGTCT